TCATTACTTGGTGACTACTAAATTTTATAACCTCTTGGTTTAATTTAGGTCATATGTGCCCACCAGAAATTTGCCTGTTTCTTCTAGGCTTTCTTACTTGTTGACGTGTAGTTTTTAAAACCACTCCCCGATGATCCTTTTCATTTCTGTGGTGCTGGTTACAAGGCACTGTTTTCACCCCTAACTTTGTGTATCAGGGTCATCTCCCCTCCCTTGGTTGCTTAAGCTCTAGGTTCGCCAACTTTTTGTTTCACCAATTCTTTCTCTGACTGATTTTTTAGTCTTCTTTATTTCTGCTCTGATTTTATTATTTCTTCCCTTTTGCTAATTTTGAGTTTAGTTTGTCCTTGGTTACCTTTGTTTATGAGTGTGTGTTTCCTTGGTTTTGGGGGGAGGCAGAGTCTCAGGTAGCCCAGACTTTCCTCAGACTTTCTATGTAACCAAGGATGACCTTGAACTTCTCTCTTATTTTTTTCCTTGAGACAGGGATTCTCTGTGTAACAGCCCTGGCTGTTCTGGAACTTGATTTGTAGACCAGGCTGTATTAAAGGGTGAATTTAAGCATGGGTGAGATTTGGTGGCAAAACAACATGTAAAAAGAGATCTGGTTACATAGCTCAGGTCCTGGGTCAGTGCAGAATGAAGTATTCTGTACACCTGCTAAATCCATTTGGCTGATAATATAATTTAACTGATGAGTTTTAATTCTATTTTATTTTACATTCTAAATATCTATCTACTGGTCAGAGCGACTCTTGAGGTCCCACCATAGTTTAGACTTACTTTCTCTTAAAGTGTTTCCCAAAATGGCAACTTGTGCTGACAGTGTTATTGGGAGTGGGTGAGTGAGTCATGAGGGATCTAACTTCAGTAAGTGAACCCACTGATGAACTCTTGGGTGGAGCTTCGTTGAAGGAAGTGGAACCATGTATTTGAAGAGTACATCTTGTTGCTGTCTTCTTCCTGTCTCCCTGCCTTCTGATGCCATGATGGTCAGGCCCAAAGAATTGGGGCCAGCCAGGTATGGACTGAAAAGGCTGTGAGCAAAAATAAACCCTTCCTTTCTTTTTTCATTTTTATTTTTCTTTTTTCTCTTTTTGGTTTTTCGAGTCATGGTTTCTCTGTATTGTTTTGGAGGCTGTCCTAGAACTCACTCTGTAGACCAGGCTGGCCAATCCTTCCTTTCTTCAAATTATATTTTTATTAGATTTATTTATTTTACTTTATGCCTGAGTGTTGTTACAGACTATTATCTTAATTATGTAAACATGTGTTACATTTGTTTATGCTACAGAATATTACTTTACCTTGTAAAGGTGTGTTACGTTTGTTTATGCTGCGTTTGTTTAATTATGTAAAGATGTGTTGCAATTGTTTCACCTTGCCTGTGTAAGGCACCTAATTGGTCTAATAAAGAGCTGAATGGCCAATAGCTAGGCAAGAAAGGGAGAGACAGCGCCGGCAGGCAGAAGTATAAGTAGGAGGAGAAATCTAGACTCAAGAGAGGAGAGAAGGGAATGAGAGAGAAACAAGAAGAACACGCCTGAGGCCAGAAGTCACCAGATGGACAGACAGACGCCAGAAGCAGGAAAGAAGGACATACAGAAAGAGAGAAAGGTAAAAAGGCCCAATGCAAAACATAGATAAAGAGAAACAGATTAAAATAAGAGCTAAGATAAGGCCGAGCATTCATAACTAATAATAAGTCTCCATGTCATGATTTGGGAGTTGGTTGGTCACCCAAAAGAAAGCCTGTTACAAGCTAGGCGGTGGTAGCGCACACCTTTAGTCCCAGCACTTGGGAGAGTGCATAGCTAGGTGAATCTCTGTGGGTTCAAGACCAGCCTGGTCTACAAAGAGAGTTCCAGGACAGCTTCCAAATCTACAGAGAAACCCTGTCTCAGAAGAGAAAAAAAAAGAGTTGCCATGGTCGGGTTGTCTCTTCCCAGCCATAGAAACCCTAAGACAATAGCTAAGGCGTGGAACATGGAAAGTTAGCACTGCCCTGCTGAAGTCATTGAGAGCCTGTGTCTCTCTCCTTACATAAGCCTCGTCCTTTGTCCTTAAAGGAGCACACTGCCATCCAGAGAGTTAGCTACATGGAAGGTCTGATTTCCACTCAGCCAGCCTGGGCACAAACACATTGTCCTGCTGAGCCTGCTGTTGGCTCGCATCCCGGAGCCTTGAGCACAAGTTACCCAGTTGAGAGCTTGCCATGAACTTTACCCTACTTCTAACTTACCCGGCTGGCCGTTGGGGAGGGTAACTCTGTCAGGTGCTGCTCTGGTGACTTTGTCACCGATGTAAGGTTAGGAAATCACGAGGGCGTCTGACAGGTACCCGGTCAAGCATCTTTTACATGAACAGAGTGGGACGTTGGCTCACCCTAGTTCTGTCCTCTCCCAACACCCAGTCTCCCAGCAAACACTGCTCTGAGCATTCAGAAACAGGGTGTGCATCTTTGCGGGCATGGGGTGCCAGCTGTCTCATTCTAGTGAAGAGAAAGCTGGGTGATGGAACAGCTCGCCTCAAGCTGACTTGAAGCCTCCTTTGGGCCTCCCTGACTCCCTGACAGCAGCTGTTCTCACGTCTCTCACAGCCAGGCTCCTGCTGACCTCCTCGGTCTCATCCAACAGCAGCCAGGTTCCTGATTCCCATTCCAGGGGAGTCCCCTGTAAGACTTTCTCTCCTAACCCAGCCTTGTCAGTTTGTCCTTCTGCCTTCATCCTAGTGGCTCCCACAGTCTCGAGCTCCCAGGAGGCGGGCTGTGTCCACACAGTCACCAGCCTCTTCTCGGTGCCCTCAGTAGCTCTGCTAGCCTCCACCTGCCACACCCTCTCCTCCAGGACCCTCTGAGGTGACTCACGGAGAGGGACGGAACAAATGTGCCCTCTGCTTCCTGTGGGAGTAGACAGCTCGAGGATGAGAACCTGGTGGGCAGGAGTCTCACTGATGCTCAGAGCCTGTCCCCCTTTCTTTCTGTAAAGCCAGAAAACTGCCAGGAAACACAACACACCCATCTCATATCTTACCCAACTCTATAGAGCTTTAGCTCCAATTTTTTCCCCCAGGTTATACCTTTTTCTTACGTTATCAAGGTTTTCTACCATTCCAAGCCTTCCAGGCTGATCAGAAAGATTGGGGTCTGCCCTTACCTTGCCAAAACTTACTTCTCTCCTTCCATTTAGATAAGGCTCCTTTGGCAATCACACAGTACAGAGTTCTTCTTGAACCTGCAGTCAGGAAAGGCATCCTTCCAGTCTTGTCAGCTTGTGGGGGAAGTACCTGATCCCCTGCTCACCACTGTCGGAGAAAGAGTTTCAATCTGCACGTCCCACTGAGTGGTGCCTCTTGCTCTTTCCCATCAAATAGACAAAGCAAATTTTTAGACCATCTTGTCAATGGTATGCCGAATCAAAATGTCATTCTGACCATCAAATGCAAATGAAGAAAGGAAAGGTTTGTGTCACATTGTCCCAATTGGCTTTAACACAAATCATGTGCTTGAATATGTGCACATGGACATGTGTGCAGGATCCACCCTTCTTTTCTGTCTGAACTCTCCAGGTTCATCTTTCCCCTCTTCTGCTTTTGCATTGGGGATTTCTAATATTCTTCAACCAAGAAATCATGATGTAGCAAGCATGAACATAACCGAGGAAACAGACATCCACTTAGCTTTTCTCAGTTTCTCATTCTGTTCCTCTCTCTCCCCATCTATGAAGTTACATAGATCATTGCTGATTCCTTCCTTGATTAACCCATGAGTTAATTTAGACCCACATTCTCTTTTGTTTGTTTTTTCTTTGAGACAGGCTCTCTTCATGTAGCCCTGACTGCCCTGGAACTCACAGTGTAGACTAGGCTGGCCTCAAACTTGCAGAGTTGCACCTGCTTCTGCCTTAG